CAATGTACTGCTGCAACTTCTTTTGAATGATCTTCAGCAAAATAGAGGATCCTTAGGCACTTGCAAATAATCCACAGTAGGTAATCAATGGTGAGTGCCCCTCACATCACAGGGCTTTTGCACTTGCTGGCCCGTCTGCCTGGACAGCTTTCTCCCCTCCTCTTTGCCCAGTTAAACCCTAATTCATACTCTTCTTCAGATCACAGCTCAAGCATTACTTCCTGAGGGACACTGTCCCTAACCTCCCCACAGCATCATGGCATTATGTATTTCTCCATCACAGCACTTATCACTCATCGCATTTAGTTGTGATTCTTTGATTAACATGTCTCCTCTACTAAGCTGGAAGCTCCATGAGGGTAGGGGCTTATGTCCCCCTGGGTGATACCTGTACCCTCCAATGTATGCACATAGAAAGTGCCCAATAGCTATTTATTGGAAGGAAAGTCTGGATGTCAGATAAAACCACTGTGTGTGGGGGCGGGGTGCAGATTGCTTGTCTGTCCATCTTTTTTCAAAGCAGGAATCAGATAATGAAGCACCAGACCTCACTCTATCCTCTGCTGTTTTATTTATCCAGAGCTTGTCCAAAGTCACACAACTTGTTAAGATTCAAACCCAGGCCTGATTGGTTTAAAAATGAATTTTTAGAGCACGTGTTTTCAGGTTGTAGATAATGTGAGTGTGAGCATGGGAGAAAGAAGGCAGCATAAGCCTTCTCATAAGTACAAATCTGATCTTACTGTTTCAGTTCTTCGTTTTTCAATATATAGGTCATCAAGTCTCACTTAAAGGTCTATAAACCTGCAAGCAAAGGCAGCAGACTTGTTTCACTGTCCTTTCTGGGAAAAGCCTTGCTTATATGGCGCTTTTTCATTCATTTCCTCTTATATGGGATTAGTGACACATAATTGAACTAAAAAAACAAAAAAACCTGTATTGAGCACTTCTATGTGAAGGCACCTGAGGCTGGTGAAAAGATCATGTTATAGACTAACACCAAGTTCCTCTGTCCTTCTAATGGCAAGTACTGTATTTGGTGGCACAAACACACCCTTTATAGAAAGTAGCAACTCCTGGTTCAGAACAACACCTATCAGCATTTAATCACGTGAGTTCTGGTACATCATTTAACATTTTGACCCCTCAGTTTTTTTATTTATAAAGTAGAAGTGATGTAACTATTAGACTCAAAAATTACTGAGCACCTAACTCTCTGTGCCTGGCATTCTTATATGCACTATTTCATCTAGTCTTCACAATAATCCCATGGGCACAGAAATACTCACCTTGTATTATTGGGAGGCTAACTCAGAGAGGGAATGTGACTTGCTCAAGTTCACATGATCGATAAACAGGAGTCCAGGACTCAAATCCAGATCACCTGACCACTACTTCCTTTGTACTATGGCCTCACCGCAGCAGGATATAGTGAGAACCTCACAAAAAAAATGTATTTAAAAGCAAGTTTTCAACTATAGAGCTCTATACAGTGTTAAGAATGTTAAACAACTTGTTACACTACAGAAAGGAAGAACTAGAACCTAATCTAAGATTTTAAGGGTGATGAATTGATTAGCAGAGAACAGATAATTTTTCTCTTAACAGTAATATTTCCTGTACTTCAAAAATTCTCAAATAATAAAAATGACCCAATTCAAAAATGGGCAAAGGACCTAAATAGACATTTACCCAAAGATAAACAAATGGCCATTAAGAAAATTCAAATCAAAACCACAATGAGATACCATTTCATGCCCATTAGGATGGCTATAACCATAAAGACAGATAATAAGTGCTGGTGAGGATGTAGGGAAATTGGAACTCTTACACACTGTTGGTCGGAAGGTAAAATGATGCAGTCCCTGTGGAAAACACTCTGGCAGTTCCTCAAAAGGTTACAGTGTTACCATAACACCCAACAATTCCACTCCTAGGCATACAGCCAAGAGAACTGAAAACATATGTAAAACTTGTACACAAACGTTCATAGCAGCTTGATTCATGATAGCTAAAAATTGTAAACAACCCAAATGTTCATCAACTATAGAGCTCTACACAGTGTTAAGAATGTTAAACAACTTGTTGCACTACAGAGAGGAAGAACTAGAAATACATAAACAAAATGTGGTATATCCATGCAATAGGGTATTATTCAGCTATAAAAAGGAATGAAGTACTGATAAATGCTACAATATGGATGAACCTTTAAAACATTATGCTAAGTGAAAGGAACCAGTCACAAAAGACCACATGTTGTATGATCCAATTTTATACAATGTCCAGAATAGGCAATCTACAGAGAAAGAAAGCAGATTAGTGGCTGCCTAGGGCCAGGGGTTGGAGGGGGTGGGAGGGTTTAGGAGAATTGGAGAGTGACAGCTAAAAAATAGATACAGGGTTTCTTTTTTTGGGGCGAAGAAAATGTTTTAAACTTGCAGCCATGGTTGCACAAGTCTGTGAATATACTAAAAACCACTGAATTATACACTTTAAATGGGTATATTGAACGGTATGCGAATTACAGCTCAATAAAGCTGTTATTATATAAAAAGTTCTCTTAAGTTCACCATAAACTGCATCTGCAATACTAAAACCCAAAACCCGTTGCCATCGAGTTGATTCTGACTCACAGCGATCCTCTAAGACGGGGTAGAATTGCCCCACAGGGTTTCCAAGGAGCAGCTGGTGGATTCGAACTGCCAACTTTTTGGTTGGCCAAACACTTAACCATTGTACCACCAGGGCTCCAGTTCTGCAATACCCGGTACTTATTAAAGTTTACTTTAAACCGAATGGACTTTTCTTAAAAGTGCCTATAATAATAATTTTGTAGCATTTGTACTGTTATCTCTAAATATCCTTCACTGGGATAACTTAAAATTACATTTCTTATATAGTATTTAAAACTACTAATGCTAAAACTTTCAGTTAAAGGACGGCTGCAGATCCATACATGGCATGACCATCCATCCGGTTACTCAAACAAGAAATCTAAGAGTCATTCTTGCTTCCTCCTTCCTTCATCTCCCATATCCATTTCATTAGCAGGAAACAAGCCCTGTTTGTAAACTCCACGAGGGTAGGACTGTTTGTTCATTGTGATATCCCCACTGCTTAGAACAGTGCCCAGTACACAGAAAATGCTTAATAAATACTTCTTTGAGAAAGAAAAAAATTCATGCCCTCCCTGTTACCAGCATCTTAAAAAAAATTTTTTTAAAGCCTTCACTTGACAATGTTAATATCTATAATAGTAATAATAATAAAATGTAGACTATGGCAGTTTCATTTGGCATTCCAGTTGCTGAAACATACTAAAATTCTGCAAGGAACATAGGTTTGTTTTGCTGCCAGAAGATGTAGAACATAATAGCTTTGTTCAAGTTCATTCTTGTAACCTAATCCATGAGTATTTAAAAGATATTTTATTTTATAAAAACTTACATCTATAAGTAATGAACTGACCATAATAGAGGGCTTAACGTGGAATACATGGATAGTCTTGAGGACCCATGAACTCCTAAAATTGTATGCAAAAACCTAACATGTATATTGGCATGTGTATCTTTTTGGTGAGAGAGTTCATAGTTTAATCAGATTTTCAAAGAAGTCTATGACCCGAGAGAAGATAAAAAATTATTTAACTAGAAGCAGAGTCACAAAGTCTTTTAAACACGAATTTGTACAATAAAATAATATCCAACAGCTCCATCTATGGGTAAGTCATTATCACTAAGTAGAAATATTGACAACCACCAGAGATCAGTGCATCTTATGAAAGCTTGTATTTAAATCTTCAGTGTCACTCTAGTTGGAATTTATTAACTATAATATCACAGCTTTTTTTTCAGACATAGATGCAAAAATTAGGAGACTGTTGATGAATTCTACTTACAGTACTTCAGCACCAAAAAATTGGGCAGTTATGCTGATATATGTATGTACAGTTCAATATTTGTCAGTCTTAAAATGCTTATTTATAGTGAAATCTATATAAAACCGTTAAAAACTTTTGTATTTACATTTTTAAAAATGAAAAGTATAGTTTCCTTTGCCACAACTTGTCAAAACTGACTCTGACCCTCCCACCCTCTTACCCCTCATTCTACTTGTGACAGACAGCGATCACAAGACCCAAACATATTGCTTGAACAAACTGTGTCCTAAAAAGGTAGAACGCTTAAAAACATTACATTTAGGACTGTTTAAGTGAATGTTTTATACATTTCAAAGAGGGTTAAACAAAAGTATATAAAAGTTATTTTCAAAGTCTCAGTCCAACATAAATGTGCAATTTCAATATAAGAAAGCATCATATGAATGAATAATTTGTCTTCCTTAACATAAATGAACATTTCCTTTGGGCCAGAAAATGTTTCTATTCCTCTGCTTCACAATGAAACATTTTCTCATAAGTTTAAAAAACAAAGGGGAGGAAGGGAGGTGGAGAGAATAGGCAATCCTGGTTTACATGAACTGTGTCAGAAGGAATATGGACTGCTGTGAAATTTTTACACTTAAATAAATAAAAGGGAAAGTGTGCTGCCTACAGCACAAAGAAACAACACAATAAATTAGCATACAGCTGGCGAAAATGTACAAGCCACCAAAAAAGCACTTTCCACTGGTTAGTGATCTGATTTCCACTATCCAACAAGGATTCTTTAATGCCAGTATTTTTCTAGGTATTTTATAAACTAATTATGAACTGAGCAAATGTAAAATGTTAAGCAATTCAACACTTTCAGATATTTGCAAAACCATACAAGATTTTTAAAAAACTGTTTCTGACACACCATTTCAAAATACAAACTATTCACATTCTTCTTTTTTGATGTTTTGCTCAGTAGAAATCAACTGAGGAACATTCACAGGAAAAGTCTCTTTCCACCGCAAGACAAACTTTTCCATCGGCCATTGTCCAACAGAGAAAGAATATCAGGTCTTTAAGTCACTGTAGATGTGCATTTTTTTCTTTTTTTGTTTTTGTTTTTTTGTTTTTTAAAAAAGTACATTCCCCCGTGAGTTTTATCTTGTTTTAAAACACTGCTCCTGAAGCAATATCTTTGTTGAAACACTGCTGTTTCAGGGTCCACAGCCTAATTATGGGCAAAGTGCTCTCTTTAGACATCAAAATACAAGGGCTTCCCTGGACACTTGGTAACCAAGCAGGTTTTAAAGTGCACTCCTGTGTCCAAAACACTAGGACCGTTCCGCAGAACTCTGAGAGGGGCTGGGCTCCGTTCCATCCTCCGTGCTACTGTCTATGTCCTGCTCCATTGCTGTCTCATCGTCATCCAGCTGCTGACTGGTGAAGTTGTTGAGCTCAAGGAGCCCACTGGGCTCCACTACCACATTGGAGCTGGAGTGACAAGGAATAGCATATTGTGGAATGGCCTGGAAGAGAAGATACAAGAGAGAAGCTTTACAGTAAGAAAAGGTAACAGAAGGATCTCCCCAACAAAGCTATGGAAGTATAAAAGGAAATTGCCATTTATTTACAACTACCACATGCCAGGCACTGTGCTAGGTGCTTTCACATATGAAGTTCTACTAAATCCCCATAACACTGTAGGAAAATATTATTCCTGTTTTACAAATGAGGAAACTGAGAGGCCAAGGGACTTAATCAAGGCCACACAGTTAGTCAGGGGTAATGCCAGGATCAACTCCAAGTCCCGTACAACTCAAAGTGCTCTTTCTTCTCCTTTATGAGACCTCTTCTAACCCAGGAGGCTGAAGTCTGTTGTCTTAATTCAAGAGACAGGCTTTCAAGGACATTTTAATTTGATCATTAAGCAAATTTAAATGGAAATGTAATAAAATTTTGCTCTTTAATATCTGTAAGCTGAATAATTAATTTGCTGATACCACAATATATTTTAAGTCTTTTGGTAATCCTTTGGTGGTTCAAAGGGGAAGTTATTTGGGTCACAGAGTAACATTTTTTATTGAAAATGAGAGTAGTAAAAGTATTAAAGTACAAGAGAGAACATAATACATATTATGGGCATATTACTTTGTCAGATTCTTTTTCTGATTAGACATCTTTTTAAAAGGCCAATCAGTTCATGTCATGCTCCTGCTTAAAACTCCACAATTATTTACTACTATACTTGCTATAAACATCAAACTCCATACCATGGCACCAGCCTCTGTCAAATGCACTTGCACGTTAAGAGCGTTTGCACTAACTCTTCCCCCAGGTCTGTGCATGGCTGGCTCCATGCTGTCATCTGTATCTTAGCTCAAAAGCTTAGAGAAGCCTTATAACCATGAAACCAAAAATATCGGGCCAGCCCCTGCCCCCATTACATCCAGATACATTTTCTACATTGCATTTACCATCTGTTTGTTAAATTGCTTCTCATCCTTAGAATTTACGCTCCATGAGAGCATGGACCAGAGCACAGATCCTGACTATTTTGTTCACTGCTAGATGCCCAGAGCTAAAGAGGGTCTGACACACATGAGATGCTCAATAAACATTTGCTGAATGAATGATATATTTTTAACATTAAAAACCCCAAAGCAAAGTTAAATATGAGCACTCTGCAAATATACTTTGCCAAAATAACCTTTACTGGGGAGAGATGTTAGTTTTAACACTATCAAGAAAATAATGTAAGACGCTTAGGCATTGGTTGAAGGGTGGAGGTTTTTTTTTTTTTTGTTTTTTGTTTTTCTTTTCTCCTCTGTTCTATATAGCTGATCATTGGGAAAACAGCATTGTGGAAAAAGTACTAGATGGGACTGGAGACCTGTTCAGCTCTCACTCTGACTTGCTGTGGGCGACTGAGCAACTCACTTCCCTTCTTTGAGCCTTAATTTAATCCTGTGTAAAAATAAAGATAGTTGGAGGAGAAATGTTTTAAAGCTTCTTTCAGTTCTAAAATTCTGTGGATCCCATATAGAGAGACTCCTTCAGGAGAGAAGATATAGCCATCTTGTTTACTCCTCTATCCCCAGCACCTAGCACAGTGCCTGGAACACAGTAGATAAATAATGCATGTGGAATGAATGAATGAATGAACAAATGAATGACACTGTCCATCTACATAAAATGCTTTTCATTTCAAAGCATTTAATATTAAACATGATGAATTTTTATAGGGCTTTCTTCAAGTAATTAAAGCACTTTTATAAACTTCCTTCACTAATCTTCATAGGTATTTTACTGAATCAGTGAAATCAATATTTCAGATCAAAGCTAAGCATAATTAGTAAGATTTGAACTACTCTAGGAATATATTAATGATGACTGACTATAATAACAGAAGCTATTTTTATTGAGACATTCTATATCGGACATCTCACCAGGTGCTTTATATACATTTTCTCACTTAATCCTCAAAACAACCCTGCAAGGTAAGCATTATTGTTTCCATTTGATGGGTGAGGAAACTGAGGTACAGGGGTTATATTAATTCAGTTGCTCAAAGTCACAATGCTAGTAAGGAGTAGAGATAAAACTTAAATCTAGGTATTTCTGACTCCAAAAGCTTGGTTCTTAATCACTGCTGTCCTTCCCTCTGACACAGCACACCTAGCACATGGTACATGCTAAAAGTTAATTAAGTATTCTGTGGAGGACCTACTCAGTAGCTACAATCCTTGATACATAAAGCAAGTTACATTTTTACCCGTTTAAAAAGTGCACAAGAACAATTTCCAAATAAACTATTAAAAATTATTTTCAGTTTAGTGAGGATACCAACCTCAATCACTAGTAAATTTTAGTAAAAATAGTAATAGCTACCATCTATTGGGCAATCACTAAGAGCCAGGTACTGTGCTTGGTGCTTCATCTCAATTTTGTGCAATCCTCACATCAATCCTGTAAAGTAGGTGTTACTTATTCCCATCTTACTAATGAGAAAACTAAGGCAGTTTTGAGCAAGGCTGAGTAGCCTTGCCCGAAGTTACATAGTGAATGGCGATGCTAGGAAACCACTCCTTTTCTCCTGTACCCCATCTCTTCAGGAGCCAAAAAAAAAAAAAAAAAAAATCCTTTTGTCAAGGATGATTCAATTCACTAACATTTGTATAGAGAGGAATAAATTATTTGAATAATTCAATAGTGATTTCTACCTACCTTCAAGCATTTCCTTCATGCTTGATTATGTTTTATTTGGTTTAATATTGGTTAATATGCATTCTCTCATAGCTCGATGTCACAGCAAAGTTTATCACAGAACTTCCAAATCACACACTAACAGATCTACAGTAAATCCTACACTATCCACACCCCAATAAATCCAAATTCTCAAAGAACTATAATGAGCTGCTCTGATTCCAAGTCATATATCACTTTAGCAGAAAATGACAAATGTCAAGAAAACAACCTGATACCCTGCAAGAAGTAAGGGAAATAAAACCCAACTTCCAGAGGCTAGTCTGGACTCAGTAATTCCCCAGCCTTGATCTATTATACATGATGATAGATGACTTTCAGGATGAAGGAAATGTGAGGCATAGAAAGATCTACTGGCAATAAATAATTCTCTTATGTTCACTAGCCTGTACTTACCAAAGCAGAAATGTAACCATAATCAGATTTTTACTAACTATGATTGGAATAAAAAGCCAATTTTTATGGTTAATCCCAAATTAGATATTGAATTATTTAGAAACATCCCCTTATATCATGTTTCTCTAGATATTCCAGTTAACTGAGGTTCTACTGTCCTGAGAATCATAAATTTGGATCAAGAATAAGAACTGTGCTTTTCAAAAAAGTCCCCTGAAATTAACATAGAAGTGCAATCCGGTTATATTTCAGGAGTTTTTAAGCAAAAATTAGGGGGTCCAAGGTTTGGACCCAGGAAATCTGATTGACTCGTGAGTTGACACTGGCCAAGTGTGGCTTATGTGTACAAAATCAAGCTCACAGCCTTTGACTGTCTCGAAGGTGTGCTATGTAACAATATGTGTCACTTTTCCATGATTCTCTTCCAGAAAATGAATAAATGTAAATTTGTAGGCGGTTTTAAACCAAGTTTGTCAAACACTATCTCAAAAATAATCTTATGTCTTCATACCACCTTGGCTTGAAATGCCTGACTCTTCCTGTGACATCCCCAAACACACCCAAACCCACAACCCGCAAGATACCCAAGATTTTTCATTTTCCTTCCAATTCTTACCTGGATGATAATTTCTGCTGGGCTCTCTTCAGGTTTCTTTTGGCCTATATTCTGAATACGCATGAACTGGCCTGTTATAGGCACTCCTGGTGCATCGATTTTCCTTGTCGTTAGGGGAGGGCCAACAGCAGATGGACTTGAACAGGACTCTCTACATTTCTGTTGCTGGGAAGTAGAATTCGCCAACCCTGCCACCACCACGTGGGTAGAGGGTAACGATCCTGCTTCACCAGTGAGCATACTAGTGGCAAAAGCCTTCTTTGGGGGATCCACTACCATATGCTCTACATTTGTATCAATCTGAGCTTCCATCAAAGACATTTTCAAAATGTCTGACACTGCTGTCTTCTCAGAGGCCTGCATGGGAGATATGCTTGTAACTGGTGATGTCAGCTTAGGCACAGAACTGCCACCAGTTATCTTTGTAACTGTGGGAGGCTGGCGCCCCTCAAAAGTTATCTTTGTAACAGAGGATCCTTGGGTTATAATTGGTTGCTCCACCTGAAAATAAATTGGGGTTGTGTGTGTTACAGCTACATCTCTTTGAGAAAACCTAAGACAATATGGCAAAAGAAACATTCGTGCGGTATACTAGGAAGACATTTTAAAGCGCAGTGTTTTAATAAGAGGGCTGGATGGGAAGCATCTGGCTACTTTCAAGGAACCTAGGAAAAGAGGAGGGGTTGAAAAAAACCTTTGTTCAGCCAGCCAAGGTTCACAGCAGTGAAGGATAAAAAAAGTCACAGCAGCCTTGTTTTCCTTTGGGATTTACATCTCCACATAGCATGCCTTCAAACCATTTCAAATTATTTTGTACAATCTTTGGCTTTTTAAAATAAAAAGAAGTAGGGATTTTTTTTTCTCAATCTTTCGCTTCAAAATACATTTATAGAAACATATCATATATATGTATTTATAATAAACATACACACATATATATCACTCCAACACCACTGATTTTCCCTAATGTAATTTTACTTTCGATTATCCACATAATTCCTCTGCAATCCAGAAGACAAATTTATTAACTAGATGGTGATGATGTAAACTACAAAGGAAGACATTCAATGAAGCTCCTTAAAAGACTGTAGTCTACTAAGCATTACTGCCACAGAAATAGTTCACAGGCATGGAAATAAATATTTTATACCTAAAAAATAAAAATAATTTAGGGATATCAATTTTATGAACTGTTGGTCAATGCTGAAGAAATTCATTAAGAACTGGCTGGATAATCAAGTTCTGAGTGCTATGCTTTTTTTTTTTTTTTCTTCCTATATTAATGCGTGCATTTCTTCCCTAATGTCAACCTTCTGATGGGATAAAGTAACATCAGCGTAATGAGGCTTTTGGGTTTCCTCTTGCCAGGAGAAAGCACTGCTATCACGATAGGGTCGTGATGTTCTCATTTTTTCCGTGAACAGAGAAGTTTAACTTTGCATGCTATCAATATTCCGTTACCTGGCTTGTCGGCTGTTTCTCTGACGAGGCTGGGAGCGGCATTTGGCTCTGGGGAGTTTGGGGTTGCACGTAGATTTTTGGTTGATTCGGAGCCTGCTGCAGTTTAGGGAGCTGCTGCGTGGTTTTCACGGCAAGCACCTGTACTACAGTTTGCGGGGGCTGTGCCATTAGGGTAGGAAGCTGCCTGTCTTTGGCCACCATGGGATGCTGTGTGTGCTGTACATCTGGCTTGGGCTGTGCTTGCTCTTGCTGGAGAGGGGTGAGTTTCTGATGCCTGATGGAAAGCTGGGGCATTTGCGGGAGTTTGTGCTGGAGCTGTTCTGCCTGCAGATGGATGGTCTGCTTCTGTTTAGTCTGGAAGCACTGCAGAGTTTTCACTTGCAGCTGAGTCTGTTCCAGCTGGGGCTGGCTAAGTTTCTGCTGTTTAGCTGACTGTGACTGAGTCAGGGCAGATCGGTAAAACAGACCTGTCTGAGGGTCTAAAGTGTCCATCTCTTCAACCTCGCCCTCCTCAGTTCCAAGTTCCTCGCTGTGTTTGGTAAAAGCAGTGTGACTGCTTAATGCCTATGTAAAAAAGGCACAAAGTAAGAATGAAATAAGAAAAACACCTGCATTGCTACATTTTCCTCAAACTGGAAAAGACCTGAGTACGAGATTCATTTAAAAATTTCAGAAGAGGCTAAAAGACCAAGGAACCTAAAGGGGACTTTAGATTGAGACTCTTCTAATTTCCACTCTCAGACATTAAGTACTGCAAAAACTAGTCTATTCACTTCTATAGAGAAAGCACTAGAGGACCCAGAACTTGTAGAGAAGAAGGAATAAGTTTGCCCTACAAGCACAGACAACAGGAAAAGAAGAGAAAGACTCCCTGGCTCAAGCAGTGCTCTCTCCAGACTATTCATCAGAGATGTCAGCCCATCTGAAGGAAGGATGCAGCAACCGAGGAGGGAGGCATCCAGAGAAAAGCTCAGGTTCAGAGAAGCCACTCTGGCTGTGTACATGTCCAGCACTGTCTGGAGGTAAGAGATGCTGTCTGAGGGACATGGCCATCCCAGTCCCCCCAGAGGCCCTCCCTGCTGGGGGTGGAGATGGTTCGTCAGGCTTCCTTCACCAAGGTCTGAGTGAACAATCCTCTGGACACGCCTTCTTTGCCCCTTTGCTAGATTCCAGGCCCACCCAGAACAGCCTCCCAGAGACCTTGATCCCAGGAGAGTGGGAGATTGGGGAGCGGATAAGAACATTTCCATCAGTGGAAAGAGACATTGCTTGGTATCAGTTATAACAGTGTTGGGAAGAGGCATCAATCTTGAATGACATGGTTAGGGCTAGCCTGGCTGACCTCTCTAGGTGTGCTGAGAAAGGTCACTTTCAGGACCTTCCAGATGAGGGCCAGACTCCAGGCTGAGGCCTGCCACCCAGTGAAACCTTGGCCAGCTGGCTTCCCTCAGTGACACAGCAATCTCCACCCTTCCCACTGCCTTGTCATATGTTACAACTCCACTCTTGAAACCCTTCCCTATATCATAATGACTTTACACATACAGGATTTTAATTAAACACTTCTTCACTGCCTTTCAGATAGTTTGCCTACAATTAAGGTCAATTGCTACCAACTGAGTTATGTGATTTATGTGACTACTAATGATAAGTCATGCACAAATTTGATATCTATGATATAAACAGGATTCACATAACAGAGGCAGTAGACTTTGGAATTAGACAGATCTGGGTTTAAACCCTGGCTCTGCTACCAGGGGCAAGTTACTTAACTCCTATGAGTATGAGCTTCCTCATTTGTAAGAAAAGGAATAATATACCTTCCTGGTAGGATCATAGTGAGAATTAAACAAGTTAACATTTATAAAGCTCAAAGCACAGTATCTAACACAAAGTCAACTTATAATAAAGATTATTTTTCCTTGTTCCCATTACCCTTGTTACCAGGTGTTTCTGTTTTACATTAGTTTTTATATTTCTGTTTATATTAGTTCATTCTCTCCTTCCTGTTGAGCCCCTTCTTCTTTAATTGGTCATATATAGTTAAATAAATCAAATATTTATTTACCTACTTATTCATAATGTTCCCATGAGGATTCATTATAGAAATAAAAACAAAAAAAGCCCAGCAACAAATAGCGAGACAAGCCTAATGCTACTTCATTTGAAAATCTTATTCACCTCAAATAACGTCTTCCATAACAATAAAATACATAGAAACAGTGACCAATTCTGATGTCATTAGATTCATCTAGACTGCCCTACCCTTTTAAAATGCTAAGAGTTCATAAAAGATCCAAGAGTACTGTTTCTTCATTGTTTTCAGGTGTTAAGACCCTTAATTCATTTCCTGTACTCACTGCTCACAGATGAAAGAACTATACACTCTATGATTCAGTTATCTCCCTTCTTAAAATAGGAAATGAAACTGAATCTTATCTCAGGAATGAGGCAGTTACAGAAGGCAGGAAGAAAGAGAAAAGATACAACCTGCTGCATAATGTGGGTGATTGCGCCAGTAGAAGATGCAGGGATGGATTTCACCACCACTGAAGTCTGTGTTGCAGTTTGTGACTGAGCCACATGCTGGAGCAGGGTCCTCTGGGGCTGAGAGGGCTGCTGGGGCTGGGAACGATGGCTGACTGGAAATAGAGAAGGTAATGATATTTCTCCAGAAATCACCACAGCACTTTAACCAGTAGTCATTTTAAACAAACGACTGTGAGCTTGTGTCAAAGACTATAGTATTGTGAACTAGGAAGCAGAAGACCAGTCTGACCATCTATGAGTCGTGTAACTCTAAGAAAGTCACTTACCTTCTCTGAGACTCTGTTTCCTCATCTGTAAAATGGGAATAACAGAGCTATAGTAAGGATGAGATGAGAAATGTTATGTAGAAGCACTGTGAAAACTATTATCACAAAGGAGGAATAAATTCCTTAAGGTTACATCCTCCTGTGAGTTGTATTCACTTTCTCCAATGATTTTTATCCCATTAGGGTAATAAACCAATAATCAGTTTCTATAATCAAATCCCAGACTAATATGATTAAGGATACTGAGACAATACATGTTCTTTAATCTCTCGGTCCAGTTCCAAATACAATACAAAAATTAGAAGCACTCGCTCCTTTGTATGAAGTGACACTGTCTAATGGCCTTACAGCACCTAAAGATGTAAGAAGTCAGGGTGATACTACAAAAAGAGAACTGGATCAAGAGTCAGACCTGGATTCTGTATGGCTCTGCCACCAACCAACCAAGTGAATTTGAAGGGGTTACTTAACAACCTCTATTAACCTTTAAAACTTAAGAGGTTTTGTCTGTTTGTTTTTTAATGGAATAATAAAAAATTGCTGTTTCTATCTAGAAGAGGACCAACCAAATGAAGCAATCAGTTAAAAAATGCTCTTTAAACTGTAAAGTACTAAACAAATGTAAGGTTAACAAAAGAATAGAAAAAAAATCAGCATTCTTTAAATCTTCCCAAATATAGCTTATCTGACCCAAGGCTCCATGGAGTAATTAAAACTGTACATCTACTTAGATGCCAATCTATTATCTTTACCAGCCTTAATTTCAACTTTTTAAAAGTAGGAACATTTGCCACTTCTTATTCTACAGAGTTTAAAAATACCTATGGTTACTGGGAAACCAACCTTCCCAATCAGGAACAAACAGAACAGAGCAAATCTGTAAATTAGGTAAGGATTTTGAGAATATCAAAACCCTCTCAATAACCCACAATCCTAATGTTCATATACCTTCATCTACCATTTAAAGTAGTACTGGCTGCATGCTTAGAAAAGGCATAGTGGGATGTCCAAGAGTAAAATGACCACTACAGAAATCAATGTAAAAACGCCATCTATGTATTATAAGGACAGAACTTTAAAACTATCCAGTGAAATATAAACAAGTTTTATTTATTTTTATAATTGATTCTATCTATATTCACCAACGCAATTTTTCTACTGTTGTTGTACATATGCCAACAACCGACAGAAGAGCTTACAGGCAGCATCATCAGTATTGTTTTCTAAATTTACCGCAGCACCCTACTGTATGTCACAGTACATTTTATATGTACATTTTTAATTATGTGAGTTAAAAATTTTAGGGCCATGTGTGCTCAACCAAAAGGAAGTCAAGATTTACATTAAAACAACTACTAAAATCATTTATAATATGATTGAGTAGGAGAAAAAACAATCATACTAATATTAAAAATAAGCAAGTAAATTAATGAGTTTTTTTTTTTTATGGAAGCATCATCAGAAATGTACAACATCTGAAAATTAAGTGAGTTTCTGATTATCAGATTAAACAGAACATTTCTGCTACCCATAGTAATTTACATAACGACTACATTAATTTTTTTAATTATAGATTTAATAGAAGATAAACTAAAACCATTTAAAAATAATCCTCATTCAGGATACTATAAGTCTCTTCACAGTAATTCCCCAGAGTTGAGGAAGGTTAGAGAAAACTAACACCCACTGCAGGATGGTACAAGGGTCCACAACCAGGCAACTGGCTTTGAAGTCAAAGAAAAAGCTCAACGTCACTAGGGGTATGATGGGAGGAGACTGTAGAAGGAGGTCACAGAGTGAACATTTGGAAAATAGCTGCAGTGACCTTAAGTGGGCCATATACACCCCAGAAAATAGTCACTTATTTCTTTAAACAACTCTTATTTTTTCTAGTGTCAAATTGCTCATTTCTGAGAAAGAATCCCACTATTCTCTACAAAAGGAAAATCTCTGTCCCTTTCGCTAAGTGGAGCTTACCTTTCCTCTACCAGATCAGAGTAGAGCGCATCCATTTAAATGTTTCTCCCCCCAAAACAATGGTCTTTTATCTTCAATTATGCTACACATGGATGCACACCACTTACCTAGAAGGGGAAAAGCAACCTCTGTCCCCTCATCAGTGCATTCTGAAAAGGATAAGTAAGGGAAGAAATCATAGGTCTTTTCGTCTATTTACCATTTGATAATCTACTACTCTACCCCCAGAGGTAAATACCGGTTTCCCCAACATATTGCTCTCTGCTTTAACTAGCTTTCTGCTAAGTATCTTTAAAGAAACACCCAAGATACTTTGCACAATCTTTTTTTTTTCAAACTGCATTTTCCCTTTGGGTAATTTTAACTCATTAGTCTTAATAACGTGTCCTGAAATAATGCCAAAGAATTCCTTTTCCTCTTCGGTATTTACATCCTTCAAATATTTTTAACTTTGTGTTCTTCTTTAATCACCCCTTAAGAAAACTTAAGATAGGAGTTCTTTACATATTGCCTCATAAATCATCTCTCCTACTCCTTAATTATTCACATTACTATTCTCTGAAATATTTCAAATCTGGAGGTAATGAAGTGTCCAAAACAGAAAGCAGTATTCCAGGTGTGGTCTCACCAGAATGAGAGAAAGAATCTATTATCCTTCCTATTCTATTTCTCCATGTATGCCATCCAAAAATCTCATTAGCATTTTTGGCTGCTGGACCACATTTCAAACAAGTATCTAATTTGCTTTCCATCAGAACTCCTAAGTATTTACAGGGATTAAAGGTTTTCCACATTTTGTTTTAGAAAGGTTGAATTGTATACCTTCTTTCTCCCCTGACCCATCTGCCCCAAAACTAAAAAATCCAGATGCAAGAAAATACTTATTCTTACATAAAAGATGTTTTATCCTCTCTCTACAACTGTTGCCCTATATTCACAGAAGTTATTTACGGCCAACTTGTAGTTTTATATTACTTGCAAACTTCGTAACATCCTATTGATTTTCTTCTAGTCATTAAAGACAGGGTAACCCTAATAACAATATAAATTTGCTCTGAGAGCAAACTGGAAATATAAAGAAAATATATATATCCTTATTCTCCCCCAAATAACCATCCCATGAAATTCAGAAAGGTAGCTCTCCTACCTTAATACTACTTTTTAATAGGACACCTACCAGTAGTGATGTATTCAGCAACTAGTTCTGACTCTACCACAGCAATTGATGGACTCTCAGGAGAATGTCTCTTTTCCTGGGTCATCTGAATAGGCACTGCCATTTGACTCAAGTCAATAGTGGGTTGTCTTGGTTTAGATTCCAATTTTTCCTTTACTGCATAAAAAAGTCAGGGGAAAAGTTAACTTTATTATAAACAGGTACCAAAACCAGAGTTGTCCATGGGAATAATGAACCAGTCCTCTGGGGTGCCACACTGGCAGTGATTAAGGAGGCAGTGAGTTGAAAAGAAAGAAGAACTGCTATGTGTGGCTCTACAGTACACAGCTTGCACAACCATACCCGACAGCCTAACAAGAAGGTGCTTTAAACCAAACCAAACCAAAAAAATCTGAGACTCGTATACAATTAGGCTAAAATCCCCTCTACTATCACTAGGCCAAACAACCGGGTTTGTTATTTCCCTGGTATAGACTCTCCTTAGGACATTTCCTTTACTCTTCTTCAAGGTAGTCCCTGGTGTTCTTGAGTTCACCAACCTAAAAACAAAGGGTAAATAAGCAGTGCACAGTATGATTTGCTCTAGGGCACATCTACCCAGAATAGCAAAACACAGTGACCAGTTTAATTCCATCTATTAAAAATTCAAGGTAATCGTGAAAGAAATGTCACAATCTCTTCAATGACTCTCAAAGAATAAACATTTTTAGGGTTATGAAAAAATGGCCTCTCTGTTCCTGCAAAAATGTCTGATGGGGTGGTCTGGAATCAAGAATGGTTTCAGTGGATAGACTTACTTTCTATCTTATTTCTGCTTTCTATTTTTTTAATTTTATTCTTATTTTTTAAATAAAATCTACTCATTTAGTTCCCACCCTCTAACTTTTAAAGTTGTGCTAAGAGGATGCTGGCTATAAGGCATTAATGAAAATAGCTGAGTGTGTTAAAGACAAGAAGTTGAGGAATGCCTAAGGCCAAAAATAACACCAATAGAAGTATTAACCAAAGACTTAAATTAAATGCTAGCATCTCTGAGTAGTGTACGGTAGATGTTACAATAAATAGTAACCAGTAATTAAGTCCACTGAATGATCATACAAATTATTCCCACCAAGTATATAATGTGACTAAGTCAAAATAATCATTTAAACAAAGAAAGCAAAACAAAACCAAAAGAATATAAAAGTCACCCCCTACAAGTAGAGGAGGCCTTGAACTAGGAATTAAAAGACGTGGAGTCTCACTCCGCTACTTAAACCAAACGGGTAACCTCTCGGGATCTCAATTTATTTATCTATAAAATGAAAGAACTGAATGAGATAATTGCTGGGGTCCCTTAAATACTCTGACAATCTTTGACCTATTATAACAGAAAAGTCAGTATAACTAACACTAAATATCTTTGATAGACTCTAGGACAAACCTGTAACTAGAAATACTGATAGGATCTTATTAAACGAGGATAGGTTTGCATAGAAGCTCACTCATACTAAGGAATAAATCTAAAGATCAAATTAAAACATTAGCAAGAGGCCATTAACAATGTTTTATGACCACAAAACTCTCTACCAATATCAAGATGGATGGCAGGAGCCCTTTACTCTGCCTCCTGCTAGTCTTGATTAGAACTGGCAACTGCACTGCATTAATCCTTAATGCTTAGAAGTGATGGACCTACTCCTTTCTGGTGGAAAGAGGCAACAGGATTGTCCATTTTAAGCAGGAGCCGAAGAGGAATGGGCTCTGCATTTTTTTCTTCTTTCTACTGACTGTAGTCTATTGGTCCTTCAGTACTCCCGTGCACCTCTTAATGAACTGACAAGTAAACAGACTGTACCAATCACTGCAGACAAGTCCAGAGGGGGGACATGTGCTCAAATAATAACAAGGAAAATACAACAGTAGTAGTATTTTAGCACAACCCATCTCTAGAGAAAACATGCTTCATTCAATTGAGCATGTGAATTCATACCTGTTGTCTGTTGGAGTTCTAACAGAGCTTTGATTGTTGAAGTAGCTGATTGTGATTCACTGGATACATCCTGATAAATTATGGTGGGGCTAGTCTCCATTGCAATCTCATGTTCTGACCAATCCTGACGCCGGGAAGCAATTACATGAACTACAGGCTGGGAATCTGTTTTATATTAGTTAAAAAAAAACAAACCCTATAAACAAAGTTTCTCTTAAAAAAAAAAAAAAAAAAAAACAATTTGTTTTTGTTTTATCTTTGTATTTATTGTAACTTCATGCTTTATCTCCCCAACAAGACTGTAGGCCCCAGAGGGCATAAAGGTCTTTCACTTCTGTATTCACTTATTCATTCACTGATTCAACTAGGCACCAGAATTTGCCAGAATCTATATTTGGCATTAACAACATAAAGGAGCTCACAGAATTATCAGAGGATGCTCAAGAAGCACACAATCTGGTTGGGGAGACAGACATGTAAAAAGACAAAATACAATCCAATGTGATAACTGCTATAATAAATAGGTGTGCATTTGTGTAGGTGGGTACATGTTTGTGTCTAGTAAGAACAAAAGGCTGAAGGAGTCTTATTTACCCCAATGCACCTGAAAATGGTTCTGTATTACAGCATGAGCACTCAGTCAACACTTATTGGATGGCTGAATTACTGAAAGGAAATCCTGTTCACCAACAGCAAGAAAGGACAGATGACCTAGAAGGAGCATGATATAATAGGACAAGTATAACATTTGGAGTTAAAAGTTGTGGGTTACAGCCCTAGCCCTATCAATACTAGCAAGCTGATTCTTTGGGTCTTAATTTCATCATTTCTAAAATGGAAACAATAAAATCACCTCTCTAACTCGTAAGATTTCAGAGGATAAAATAAAATGAAATATGTAAAAGAGCTTTATAAACTATGCATGACAATAGAAATATTATTATTGTTGTTATTATGGCCTGAAAGTTCTCTCTCAATTCTAAGACTCTGTTAGTTTCAAAAGAAATTACAGCCCTAATTCAAGGTTTACTATATTCATGCTATACAAGCATGTATATAAATACTAAATGTGCATCAAATCAAGCAACAAATTATTTGAGTTTTCCACCTATAAAATAAGCAGGTTGGACTAGACTATCACTAAGTTCCTAAACTCCTTTTTCCAAGACACCATACAGAAAATTGTGGAAGATATAAAGGCATGATCCCTATCTCAAGTTTACATTATAACGGGAAAAACATATTCAAATAGAACAGCCTTCTTGAAGAAAACAAAATCAATACTCAACAGATACGGAATTTTTAATTACCATTAATAAACTGTATTTTCCGGAAACACTGGGTAGAATATATGCCACCCCAAGGATGTATAATGTCCACTAAACTTCCAAAAAAAATGCAGAAGACTGAAGCATATTATCTTACAATATCGAATGCCATGTGAAACATAGTAGTTTTTCTTTACACATCCTAAGTAGATACATAGAATTTAAACTTAAGAGAACTGATTAGGGAATAACTCCTTTTATGTAACCTAAATTCTCAAACTTAAGAAATCTTCATGATGATATAACTACCTCTTGGTTAGCTGAAAGGACCTATAGGTAAAGAACAACTTTGCAACCCAACTCTATGAGACACACTGAAAGTTCAAAAGTGAGATGAGGTAGAAAAGGACTGGAAAAGGAAGACAAATTTCCACAAGGGAGCACCTGTCAGAGACCATTACCCAGAAACATCATCCTGTAGGGAACAGAGCAACTGCTCACTCTCTTTCTGCTCATAGTCAGCTGATCACTATAAAGTATCACTGCAACAACCCAACAGCTGTGACACAGAATAGGAGCATAAACCCAGATCTGAAAACCATTCCTTAAGTGATTCTCCACCCTGCTTTTGGCTTATGCTTATACTGAGATAAATCTACTGCCTATCAAGTCTGATACTGGGGTCAAAGAGTGCAATGACTGGCACACCAGATGCCTGATCTCACCAGAACCATCTGATTATGCAGTGTGCATCCATCTAGACTTCCTTACCTCTCTTGAGGATGGTGACCTGCTGACCCTCAGATGTCTTTCCCCACAAGTCATTCAATAAATATTTACTGGACAACTACTACATGTTAGGTACTAGATATATACACTTTAGTATTAGATCCAAAGGTATCTCTCTATATGGAAGATTGTGCCATATGTTTTTACTCTGAAGGGTCTGTATCACACTTTCATAGACTTGTAAGACCTCTCAGCTAAAAGGAATCTTTAAGTTCGTTTAGTGCTAGATCAATTCTATACCAAAACCTTCACAACAATATCCCCACCAGGCTGGGAGTACCAAAGAATTTACTACTTTCTAAGACAGCTTCCTTCCATCTCTGAACAGCTCCAATAATTAGAAAGGTCTTCCTGTGATTTCTCTCCAGTGGTTCTAGTTTCCATCCACGTATTCAGAGACCTTTTCCCTCTTTCATGCAATAGTCCTTGAGATAACTGATTACAGTGCCCGTGTCCCTCCAAACCCAGCCTTTCCCGTATCTTCTCTCCTCCAGGACAAATATCTAGTTTCCACCAACCATTCCTCATACAAAGTGATTCTCAGATGGCTTACCCACCTACACCATCTCTTCTAAATTCAACCCAAGATGTCTATATCCCTTCTGTAATGCAATATGTACCTAACCTCTAAAGTACTGTCATGAAGCCCAAGGCCTTCCCAATATTTAATTTCCTGGACAGCATCACACAAAATGTTCCAGGAACTTTAGTTGCCTCGAGATATTCTGCAAAAGAAGGGCTTCATAGTCAAAAAAGTCATTTTACATTATATATTCCACTCTTCATCTATCACAATATATATCAGCACAAAATGGCTCTGAAAAGTCTTACAAAAAGTATGTTTTCTTTAACTCAGGTTTATTCCCCTCCCTCACTCTGACCTATTGAGATGATGCAATTTCAAGAAACATCATCTTAGAAACTGAGTTGTGGCCGTCCCAAAGCAATGTCTTTACAGAATGCATTTTTGTATTTGCCTCATACTTTGTTTCATTTTAAATCCCTACCCTTGGTTTTGTCTCCTTGTTCTCTTCCTTTTTATTTAATATAATCTTGTATTCAATTTATACCTTAAATCTTTTGGAAATAAGGCAGAACATAAAGAAATATATACATAGCTCTAATCGCCAGAACTGAGGTGCAGAGAGCAACGCGGTCTCACAACAAAGGCATCTAGAACTCAATGAGGCTAGCATAAGAGCTGTGGAAGGTATATGACCAACTCTTTAGTAAGTGATTTAGGCAAGTATAGCCTTGATACATTAGGCTTGGTCACCTAGCTATCTATCAATTATCTAAGCAATAGTCTAGGTGTACATCACTTAGAATACCCATTCACAAGATTATGAGGAACTCCAGAAAGGAAATAACATTTTGGATTCAGGCAACAAATAAAAAGAGTCTATAAGGCTGATGCTTATATACTCTATGCCACAGTCATTATGGTTGCCAACTCAGGGCTAGCTAGCCTCTTTGCTAAATACGGGATATATAAAAATGAATATGATCCTTGCCCTTGAAAAGCTAGTAGCCTAGTGGAGATGAAAACAATTATAATAAGTAAACCAAAAACAGTACAAAATAAAATGGTCAATGTTAAAATAGCTGGTAGTACAAAGCAATATTGGGACCATAGTGTGTTAAGGAGTGATTAACCCTCTGAAGGTAATCAACAAAAGCCTTACAACAGAGTGATGATGAAGACTTCTATTCTAGTTTGTGAGGAGATAGTTCAGGAATAAGGAACTGGGCCTAACCTGCTCATTCATGGGGGTAGAGGATAAAAGGAGGAAGTTTAGATGTAATTTTAAGGGAATCAAGTGGAATCAAGGGATTCCCTTGGCATAAAATATACATATTATAGGACTTTTATAAGGGAAGTCATCAGAAAAACGACCTAAAGTCAAAAAAAGGTTGATTCTCTCTTGCAGTAGAATGCCAACTATTATTTGTACAAAGAATGACAAACTTTAGAAAATCATCAGTGGAGACTAAAACTAGTGGATAAACGTTTGATGAGGAACATGATATTTAGATAGTCTTAAAATATCTCCACACAAATTACTATTGATCTCAAAGACAAATATTTAACTTCACAATGGAGAAAACTCAGAGACATCATCTTAACTAAATGATAGAAGTTAACGGCATCAATATTTGGACAAACTGACATGTGCCTCCTGATATAATAAAACTGAGGACACATCACCACATCTGTGGAATTCCTACTAAATCTAATCATGAAGAAACATCAGACAATATCAATTTAAAGGGATAGTCTGCATAGTAAGTAGCCTAGAGTCTTCAAAAATGTTAAGGTCAAGAAACACAAAGAAAGGCTGAGGGCCTAGTCCACGTTAAAGGAGAATAAAGAACCATGGCAGTTAAATGTAGCTAAATGCAATGTACGATCATGAATTGGATCATGAACAAGAGGAAAAAAGCTATAAAGAATATTACCGGACAACTCGTAGTTCAATATGGACTGTAGATCACATAATAATAACAATGTTAAATTTCCTAACTTTGATAATTGTACCTTGGTTATGGAGAGAATAAAGGAAAAAAAAAAAAAAAGAAAACATTGCCATCAAGTTGATTCCAACTCATGGCAACCCCATGAGCTACAGAGTAGGACTGTTCCATAGAGTTTTCTTGGCTATCATCTTTACAGAAACAGATTGCCAGGCCTTCCTTCCATGGTACTGCTGGCTGGGTTTGAACCACCAACCTTTAGATTAATAGCCAAATGCAAACTGCTTGTGCTACCCCGGGACCTTCCATGAAGAGAAATAATCCTTAGGAAATACAGACCTACAAATTTAAGTTTTCAGGGGTAAAGGAGTATCATGCTTGCAACTTGCTCTCAAATAGTTAAGAGACAGAGACAAAGCAAATAGGGCACAAAGTATACAAGTCATGAATCTATGTAAACAGTATGCACAGGAATTCTTTTTACTATTCCTGCCAGTTACAAAGTTTGAAATTACATCAAAAGTAAAAGTTACTTAAGAAAAAAAAAGGAAAAAAGGGGATAAAAACTACAAAGCAATGTAAAGAAAAAACAGACAGCTATGTAGCATCTATATTCCCAGTAATTATGGCCCTTGTACAATTTAAAAACCAGCATGATTTTAGACTGACCAAAACCTTAATCCCCTTGTCTTTAAATCACAACATATATAATCCTATCCCCCTGGCTTTGTGAGAATATACTAAGAAGCTATACAAGGATATGAGGGAAGGGACAAACTCAGATTATAAAAAACTGGCTTTATAGTCAACTATATTAGATATGCCTATTCAGAATTGTGAAAATTCTCAGTATTACAGAATATTTTTAAAAGAAACAATACACAATGAAAGATAGAGAATAAGTACAAATAGATGAAATCATATATAAATTACAAAAGAGCAGAAAACCTCACACATAATCACTTTTTTAAAAACAGCCAAACATTTATCCCTTCTTAGAATGAAAACTGAAGACTCACTAATGATAATGGCACGTTTGAGAAGTATTGATTGTCTTACAGGTCCCTTAGGAAAGGACTCGCAATTTCAAAGTATAACCTGAGATTATGTATAGATAGATAGATAGATCTAGAGATCTCTACTGTTTGTGCCCCCTTTAGCACGAATGCATACACTAAACATTTTACCTGATTTCCATGAAAAAAAAAATGTCTCAAGGGCAAAAAAAAAAAAAAAAAAGCTAGAATTATTCAAGGAGCTAGACTCAAAAATAAAAGAGGATAAAGCAGCTGATCTGTTAAACTATGAGTGGAATCTGTAAATATCAAATCAGTAAGTTTAAAAGAAATTATTAGAGAATAAGCATCACTCCACTGCAACTAGCACATAAACTGATTCATAATCAATATAGAACGACAAAGTGAATTTTAGCAAACTAATTCAGAAAATATTACTATCTTAATAACATGTTGAAGAAAACTATCCACTTTCTGAAATAAGTGGCATATTGTTTGTTAAAAATCAACATTTCTATTTTTAATTCATGAATTTTTGGGGACCATTTCAAAAGCTACCTACTTCATGAAGCTCTTTCTCATCATCTTCTCACTAGAGTGTAAGCTTTCAGCCTTTGGGTTTTTTGGGTTGTTACTAATAAAATTCTACCTAAAACTGGAGAGTCCCCCCCGCCACCACTTTAATTAATTGTACTTTAGATGAAGGTTTACAGAACAACTTAGCTTCTCATTAAACAGTTAGTACACATACTGTTTTATGACATTGGTTAACAACCACACAACACAGCAACACTCTCCCCTTCTCAACCTCAGGTTCCCTATTACCAGCTTTCCTGTCCCCTCTTGCCTTCTTGTCCTTGACCCTGGGCTGGTGTGCCCATTTAGTCTTGTTTTGTTTTATGGGTCTGTCTAATCTTTGGCTGAAGGGTGAACCTCAGGAATGACTTCAGTAGTGAGCTAAAAAGGTGTCTTGGGGCCATACTCTCAGGGGTTCTCTAGTCTCTGTAAGACCAGTAAGTCTGGTCTTTTTTTGTGAATTAGAATTTTGGTCTACACTTTTCTCCAGCTCTGTCCAGGACCCTCTAATTGAGACCCCTGTCAGAGCGGTCAGTGGTGGTAGCCGAGCACCATCTAGTTGTGCTGGACTCAGTCTGATAGAGGTTGTGGTAGTTCTGGTCTATTAGTCCTCTGAACTAATCTTTCCCTTATGTCTTTGGTTTTCTTTATTCTCCCTTGCTCCAGATGGGGTGAGACCAGTGGTATATCTCAGATGGCTGCTCACAGCTTTTAAGAACCCAGATGCTACTCACCAAGGTAGAATGTAGACCATTTTCTTTATAAACTACGTTACACCAGTTGAGCTAGATGTTTCCCGAGACCACAGTGCCCATGGCCCTCAGCCCAGTAAATTCAGTCCCTCAGGGAGTTTGGTTGTGTCTATGGAGTTTCCAGAAACCCTGGTGGCATAGTGGGTAAAAGCTGGGCTGCTAACCAAAAGGTTGGCAGTTCAAATCCACCAGGCGCTCCTTGGAAACCCTATGGGGCAGTTCTACTCTGTCCTGTAGGGTTGCTGTGAGTCAGAATTGACTCGACAGCAACAGGTTTGTTTTTTTTTAATGGAGTTTCCATGAGCTTGCCTTGGACAGCTTGTGCTGGCTTCCCCAGTACCTAATACTAGAGCTTTATGTGTGCATTTTTATCCCCTATTCTAGATATTAAGTTCCTAGAGGGCAAGAACTAGATTTTATTCAACCTCTGTAGGGTCAAGCACAATGTACACAGTATAAGCTAGTAAGTGGTTGTCAAACTGAATTAATGGAATAATCAGCAATTTGACCCATGTAAGACCAATCTGGAAAGATTCCAGATTTAGAAGTTAATAATAATAGTGTTTGTACAATATGAACAATTTATATTAGAAACGTGAAGGCTAAGAAAACACTCCAGAGAGGATAATGAGGAAGGAAGAGAGAGAAGCAGTGAGTGAGGAATGAGCAAGGAAAGATAAAGAGCTCTGCCTAGATGTATCAGAATGTATAAGCATAGGTATAAATATACCACCTGACAATAAAGGCAGTTGAGATAAGTGACAGATATGAGTACTAGGTTTGTAGATCTCAAAGCCTATGATCATGAGTTTATTTCAAGAGATTTCCCAAAAGAAGAATAACATGATTAAAATAGCACTGAGGACAAAGAGCTACCCAGCTGGAGAGTCTAGCTTCATAGCTCCCTCCTTGTAAGTCGGATGACCATACAATTATCATCTAAACTGGGATACCTCTGAGTGAAAGGGGGTGCCATTAATAATTATGCTAGTACACAGGTATAAATTAGGATTGTCCCATGTAACTTGGAATGTATGCTCACCCTACTTACAGTCCATTTTAGCCCACCTCTGGCCACCTTGATTCTTTCGCAAGGTTCAGCAACAATCACTTCAAAAGGCTATATTCATTTTCTGGCGTACTTCTTCCCCTACTTACCCAAACCAAACAAGAAGAATATGAGAATTACCATCTGGGAATCATGGCTGTGTCTAGTTTAACAGTACCTACCTGACAAAATCATCATCTTAAGTTTACCAATTATTTAATGAGTACAAGCCATGCAGGAAAGAATGGTAAGCCTTACCAAAAATAAAACTTCAGCCATTGACTTAATATCAAACAAAAGAAATCAAAAGAATCAACAAATTAAAACGTAAAAATCTGTTTTGAAATTCCTAGATGCAATTCTATTTTAGTACTAGGGCACTATGTCAGTAGTAATTATGTAAATCAGAAGTAAAATGGATCTTACCTTGGGAACTTTGGGAGGACTCTGTAGAAGAGGAACTACTATCTGTGTAACTCTGTGGTTCTTCTTTTCCCTCCTGAATAGATGAATTACCAGCCTCTGCTACCCTGGATGCTTGCTGTAATGTTTCTGTTACCAGCTGCCTTGTTTGTTCACTAACAACTGTAGCTTGAAACGTCACTGGTTTAGGTTTAATAAGAACCTAGAAGAAAAGTGGAAATAATATCCAAATGAAATTTTAGAGCACTATTTAAAATGTTAAACTTCTAGGTCATGAACTAATATTTTCCAGACATGGAAACCAGCATTCTGTCCATTTATCATGCTTTGGGCATAGCACTGTTCATGAAAGACTAATTCAATCTATGGACAAATTACAGTTAAGCCACATACAACTTTTTAAGTGGTACATGCCAGATCGCAACAACCATGATTCTGACAAGAGCTTTTGCCCCTATTTTTTGTTGCCTAAAATGACTTTAGGAGTCATTTTACAGCTGTAGGATGTATAGTAGGATGATAGCCACAAGCTAAGGATGGCAGAACAGAAAGACACAAGGAGCCTAGATTCCCACCGGGAATTTCTGAGCCACAATATCCGCCCAGTATTGCCTCCCTCTGAACTTTTATTAGCGTAATAAAAATAAACCCCTAATTTGCTTAAGGCACTATTCTTCTGGTTTCTTTCTATTAGCAACCAAAGGAAAGTCCTAACTGACAAACCTGTACAAAGTAAACTTGCTTGAGACCTAAGGCATCTTTGAAGAAAACCCCAGAGGAACACTGATTTAGACAACTATAAGAAGCAATATGGAATGTGATGGATCAACTTCCTCACAAAGGTTAAAACAATAGGCAATGAAACTAGTGAAATGGGAGAAAATTTTCAAACTGGGCAATTCCATTTCAAAATGTGGACTCTTTGAGTTGACTTCAGTTGGGTCCATGGAAGAAAAATGTTAACTCACCACAATTACTTTTATTTCAACCATATGTAAGATTCTAAACCTTTTCAGACTCAATATTAAGTTACTCAATTCCAAGAATTCAAGAATGAAAACATAGCCTGTACTTATACATATGATGGAGAAAACAAAATTGTTACTGATGAAAATCAATAGGCAATTTGGACAGCTGTCTTATTTCTAATTACAAAATTTGTTTTTAGATATATAAACTATTTGGCTATGATTCTAAGGGAACAGATTCTAAAGGCAAATTATTAGTTTATAGGTAAATTAATACTTTTTACAAAAATTCTAGGATAGCATTTCTCAACCAAAGTTCTAAACACTCATTGATACTGCTCCATTTGATGTTCTCAGAAAAGCAGTTAAATACCTGCAAAATAAATGACAGCCTAGCAAATAAGATTAAATTCTGAGCCTCAAATTCCCAAGCAAAATTTGGGAAAAGTTCCTTTATTTTCTATTTATTAAAAAATGAACAGATCTCTAGCTTTTCCATACTTTAGGGTTCAAGTGAAGCAGATTTTATAAGTAAATTACATGCTTTTGAAGGCCATGTTAGCTTATAAAAAGTAAATACTTTTCTTTGATAGATTCTGAGTAACTGTCATCCTCCCTTAACCATTTACTCTTCAAGTAACAATATGCACTTTCAGCAAATTTTATTCCAGGAGGACTCTTTCTCCAATCTTTGTTGATGGCATGACCCAAATATTTAGAAATCTAGAAAGTGCTGAAGAGAGAAACACAGGTTTTAAAATTAGATAAATACACATTCAATTCTAAGTTTTAACAACCTGATATTTTTCTCAAGATTACCAATCTTTTCCTTCATATTTCTTCCTGGAAGTTTTAGGAATTTATAAAATATACAAAAGCCAAGAAAAATCACCAGATCTTATAGCTTACCTGTGTTTTCCCTTGCTGTCCATAAACAATTTTTGTTGGGATGATTTTAGCTGCTGGTTGAACTGTGGAACCTATTCCTTTTGGCTGAGTTACAATCATTTTGGTGATGGGTCTTGTAGCAGTGATGATAGCTGGTTTTGTTCCTGTTGGTACTGTCTGAATAGTCTTCTCTCCCTAAATTGAAGTCAATGATTACATAAGAAATTCATATGCACTTAAATGATAAATCACATTTTAAATTCCTTAAAACCACCAATTACAGAATGGTTCTACCAGGATGATGAGAAAAAGACTGTAGACTATATGACAAAGTACAAAGTTTCTAAGTGATCAAAAATCCTAGACTTGGTTGAAATGACCTTAGAAGTCACCTCACCAACTTTCTGTCCAAAGAATTATTTCTTGATGAGTGAATTTTTAAAAAAAAAATCATCTCATGTAAGAATATTATACTGTCCCATTCATACAATATATATAGTAAAATAGAATCAGAAAATTCTGAAGACTATACACTAAAAGGTTAACAATGACTATCTCTAAGAATTGGGACTATAGGTCTCCCCTCTATACACATATTAATGTTTATTTTCTAATTTATCTGAAAAGAACATAAATAAAAAAAAAAATTACTGTGTAATATACCAGTAGCTAAATGTACACACAAACAATAAACTCCCTAAATTCCCCAAATATGAAATTATAAGAATATATAGTGGAATGTCTCTGTGAAAAAGTCTGGGAAAGAGATGAAATCAGCAGAGATAATAACATTCTAAGGTTATATGGAAAAATATGAAGGAAAATCTTAAGGAGCTTCCCCACATTTTACTATTAGTATGCTACTAATATCACTTTAGTCTATTAACTAAACAGCTTAAGTCCATTAACTTTTCACCATTTTCTGCATTTTTGTCTGCTTTATTCTTAAGGTATCATTTTATGGTCATTCATGGACTTAAGTCTTTTTACTTGAACTTAACCAAAATAAGTTCAAATATAGTGACTTTACTAAATTATTAAAATTATAAATTTAAATCCATAAAATTAAAGAGGGAATTAAAGGATCATAAATTTCTCATCTTATCAGTTTTTCCTAATTTTTAGCCATCATCATCTAAATATGCAGCCATCTAAACTTAGTAAAGCATTCCGGGAAACTGGCGAAAAGCAATCACTCCATGAAAATGAGCTAAATATGGTTACAAATCTCCTAAATTTAACTATCTGCTATATTTACCTAAAGAAAATAAGAGGTGTCTGCCAATCACGTGGTTTCTTATTTCCACACACACTCTCTTCACAGCAACATCTCTGGAAACCAGAGCTCTAGCTCATTTGACAAGAGCCGCTAGTTTGCAAGTGGGCATGTCTCTCAAATAGCTCACCAGGCCCTGTCCAAGTATCATAACCCATATAAAGCTAATCAAAACCAATTAAAGTTATTTTTTTAAAAAGCTGTTCTGATATGTGTGAGGGGCATGCACAGGTGAGCAAGTAGTGAATACAGGTGCATATGCATCATATATACCTAACCATATGATTACACACAACTCTTTGATCTATGTGACCCTAAGACCTAGGGTACATGGCATTCCCTCTTGTATATCAAGTTCTATGGAACTTCAAACCATACTATAAAGGGTTCTCAAAATCTGAATTCCAACCCTGGCTTTACTTTTGGCTTACTCAGTGAACTCAGGCTACGAATAATCTAAGTTTTCCCATATATTGAAAAAATCTAATGCTGGGCCTGTACCAGCATTGTAAGGAATGTAATACCTAAGAAGCTTTTAGGAAATCTACTTAAATGAAATACAGCATTCTATTTTCTAACAAAGTCAGGCAAGGTAGGTACACTACCAAGCCTAAACAGTCAGTTAAGTACCAAGAGTAATAATAATAAGAAAACCATTTACTGAGGACTTCCTATGTGCCAAGCACCTTTCTAAGCACTTCCAAAACAGCTACCAGTTACTAAACAACCTTATTGGTAGATATTATCATCCCCAATGTGCTAATGAGGAAATTAAGGACTAGAAAGGTTGAATAAATTACCTAAGGTCAAACTACTACAATACTAAGAGACAAAGCCTAGGTTTGTCTAACTCCAATGAGTTTAACTAGTATGCTCAAATGCCTTCAGAATTATAACTAAATCAATTATTTACTTGATATATATTTTTTAACTAGCTCAAAGAAGTAAAAATGAAAGTAACAAATGCCCATAAATTGATTTGGTTTCAATCCCAAATATTTCTCGTTTCCCAGCCTAAATTAAATACTAGGTCAATATTTACTGGCCATAAGCAGGAATAAAATCATCTTCTAACAGGGATCTCCCTCTAGTTAAGCTGAGTGAACTTCTCCATCTGGAACCAAGCTAAGCATCTAAATTATGGTCACAAACATCCTAGCAATAAGCAACATGTTTTAGAAATTACTGTGGAAACGGCATCAGTAGGTGGTGTATCAAGTTATTACATCACAGCAGTGGTAAATCAAGCCATTCTGGCCATTGTGGGGTTCTGAAGTCTTTAGGTAAATATTTGTATAGCTGGTCTTTAAAATCCTCAGTGGACTGCTGAGTCCGCTGTTCAAGCTCTTACTTACTCCAGCATTTAGCAATGTTGTGACAACGTTTTTGCCCGGGAGGCCTTGAATGGTCGTTCCTTTTCCTGTAGTCTTTTGTACAACAATCACATTGGGCTTGGAAGTCATTGGGATTGTAGTGATTTTGGTAGTTGTTCCTTAGAGAAGGGGGAAGAAAAGGAGGCCTGAGTTAAGGACTAGTGATATTTGGTTATTTCTGTTTATACTGTATACAATTAATACATATAGTCAATGTCATCCCTAGATGACGTGAAGGCTGTCAGGAGGATGAAAATGAAGGTTTGGAATAGTAAGTTATAAGTCTTCCCAGAATGAGAGAATATTAAGAACTAACTCTTAAAGTAGTCATCTTTTTGGAATCTAAGGACCTATATGTCAAACCCAGAATCTAAAAACACCACTATAAATTTCCCCAGCAATATTCTTTTCCTGACTAGTTATTGAAATAAATCAGAATCTATTTCATGACAAATATTTTTCCCAAATCCAGTATTATAGCTTTGTGACTAGCATGATGTGGAAAACTCTTCAAGAAAGAAAATAACGAAGAAATTGTTAAATATTTATCAAAATCCACAACACTAGACTCTGGAGAAAATTTATAAAAAGAAATAGCCATATATTTTTGTGTAATTAAAAAAGAGTAAGCAAACATGACAGTCAGACCACGTCACAGATTAAACATGTGCATTTGTAATCCATAGCAGTTTGAAGAGTCTAAATATGAAACTCTTAATTTATACTCCAATCTGACATTTTCAACCATTATGATCACTCCACTTTGATCTACTGATCCAAACATATTATCTTGCCCTCTCTCCCATATCCTTCCACAATTTGCTCCTAGTGTACCTATCAAATTTATGCTCCATTTTCTTCTAAGTGTCCAAGTTGGAAATCCTCGTGCAGATATTTGATTTATTCCTTGCTTCATTCCCTGTATCCCCCAACAAAATGTAAGCCAACTGAGCTACAGACTGTGTTTTTTTAAGTCATTGATTCCTCAGTGTTTGGTACATACTCAGTAATCATTGTTCAGTGAGTATGAGAAAGAACCCAGTTTGCCAAGTTTGTCATGAACATATGTTTTCTTTCGAAATATATCAATGCTAGCTCAACAGGCAGCTTCTCATCCCCTCTGGCTTCCCATGGTGTCTCCCTTGTTCAAGTTTCTCTACCATGTAAATAGTTCTGGTGTTCCCTGTCATATTAAACATCCTTAAAAAAGTAATTTCATCATGTCAAGAACCCAGAACCTGTCAAATTTGGTAAAAAACCTCCCTAATTCCTTTTGTATCTAATTCCAACTTCCTCTCTTGGGTTTCAAAATCCTACATGATCTGGCCCTTAATCTACCAATTTGATTTTATTTGTTCCTAACCCACAACACATACCATAAACTCTATCTAACACGTAACTTCTTCACTATAGATCCTCTGGCTAGTTTCCTAGGTACTGTCAGACTTCAATTCTCATGATTATCCAGCATACACCTCTCCTTCAGTGGGCTTGTTTCTACATTGGTCCTCGAACATGCCAGTTCCAATGCTACTTTTGTTCTTGTAATTTCTTCTTTCTATGAAAGCAGGCATGTCACATTCTTTTTCTATAGGCCTACATATCATCTATCAGATGGCTAAGTCCAGAGTGTATACTCAATAAAAATATCACTGATTAATATATTCTCAAGAAGAAAAATTAAACAAAATTTTATTCTTTTTCACTGGAAAAACTTAGCATTCCTTACGAGAGATTAGAAGTAAGATTACTCTAAGAATATTCTAGCTATGTGTTAATTTTGGCAATATCTGTTACAAAAAAGACTTCACAGTATACTTGTCATCATCCAATGTCTTGTTAGCCCACGTTAACACACTCAGAGGTTACATTAAAATGCACTTGCATCTATGGGCCAGCTTCAAAACTGTTTTTCCTCTTCATCTGCAGTCTCTGAACAGTGGGCTCTTACGAGCCACAAAACCGAAGCTGCCCATTATTCATGTATACCAACTTTAAGTTAACTCCAATCCCTCATATGTGATTGGTTGTAAGTACCTCTTTTGACACTGCAGCCTCTCAAAATATTTGGTTAATAAAAAAGTGTTTTTGGAAAGTACGCATTAAAAATTACCAAGGAAATATAAATCATGCTTCAGCTTTATAGCAAGGCACAAGGACCACTTTTTTTAATGAAACTTGCTTAACAAGTGGATTGTATTTGTACCTACTAAAATGTCTAATCCCTTCCATTACAGAGGTCTGTCGATTTATAAGACAGTTACAAACCAAGTTCACCAACTTAACAAAATGAGGGAAAAAAGTTAGAAAACAGAAGAAAAAGTCACAGCATAAGGAAAAACAAGTACAGTGTTATATTAAAATAGACTATAACTTATCACTAGAATTATCAATTATAAAAGTCTGAAATTCCAGTGAACACATTTCTAAATCTCAGGGGCTACCTACATCGTATTGAAGAAAAAAGTATTACTCATAAAAAAAAGGTCCTACTCTATGCTTTCACAGCACTTGTTGTATTGTTGTGTTACAATACAATGTATATAAATTCATTTGTTTAGCATTCTTTAGGACAGAGAATGTGCCTCATGTACATACCTATGTACCACAGCACCTAGCACAGTATCTGGCTCATAGCATATCCAAGAACTCATCTATATAGTCTTTACTTACAAAGAGTCAAGGTACAATAGGTGCAAATAATTGTGAATCACATTTGGATCATAATGGGCTTGATACTTATGTATTCCTGGGATTCCTATTTAAAAAGAAGATGCCTGTCAAAGCTCTAGCATTATGGTAGGTAGGCTTAAAGAAGAATACAAACGTTTTAGCTCAGATTTTACTATTCATAGACTCTTAAATCACCCTGACAATCCTGTTATCTTCAGGAATAAATGGAACAAAGGACAGTGTTTTAGGTTGCTCTGATTACCATTCATAGATTCTTAAATCACCCTGACGATCCTATTATCTTCAGGAATAAATGGAACAAAGGACAATGTTTTAGGTTGCTTTGTTCAAAGAATGAGCGAATGAATGAAAGAAAAGTGTATGTTGTTGTTGTTGTTAGTTGCCATAGAGTCAGTTCCAACTCACAGTGACCCAAAGTACAACAGAATGAAACACTGCCCAGTCCTGCAACTTCCTTACAATCGTTGCCAAGTTTGAGCCCACTGGTGCAGCCACTGTGCCAATCCGTCTCGTTGAGGGTCTTCCTCTTTTTAGCTAACCCTCTACCTTACCAAGTATGATGTCCTTCTCCAGGGACTGGTCCCTCCTGATAACATGGCCAAAGTACATGAGATGAAGTCTCACCATCCTTGCTTCCAAAGAGCACTCTGACTGTATTTCTTCCAAGACAGATTTGTTTGTTCTTCTGGCAGTCCATGCTATATTCAATATTCTTTGCCAACACCACAATTCAAAGGCATCAATTCTTCTCTGGTCTTCCTTATTCACTGTCCAGCTTTTGCATGCATACGAGGCAATTGAACATACCAATGGCTTGGGTCAGGCACACCTTAGTCCTCAAAGTGACATCTTTGCTTTTTAACACTTTCAAGAGGTCTTTTGCAGCAGATTTGCCCAATGTAATACGTCGTTTGATTTCTTAACTAACCGCTGCTTCCATGGGTGTTACTGTGAATCCAAGTAAAATGAAGTCCTTGACAACTTCAATTTTTTCTCTGTTTATCATGATGTTGCTTATTGGCCCAGTTGTGAAGATTTCTGTTTTCTTTCTGTTGAGGTGTAATCCATACTGAAGGCTGTAGTCTTTGATCTTCATTAGTAAGTGCTTCAAGTCCTCTTCACTTTCAGCAAGGAAGGTTGTGTCACCTGCATATCACAGGTTGTTAATGAGTCTTCCTCCAATCCAGACGCTGTGTTCTTCATACAGTCCAGCTTCCTGGATTATTTGCTCAGCATGCAGATTTAATAAGTATGGTGAAAGGATACAACCCCAATGCACACCTTTCCTGATTTTAAACCACGCAGTATCGCCTTGTTCTGTTGGAACAACTGCCTCTTGGTTTGTGTACAGGTTCCGTGTGAGCAAAAAAAAAGTATATAAACACTAGTTATTTGCCTAGACACTGTACTAAAGATCAAAAGAATCAAAATCAAGTCTTGCCATCATCACAGGTTCTCATAATGTCCTTCAGAGTCAGACAATGAGTTCGTCTCTGAAGGATCCAATCTTCTGCATTAAGTGAGCATGATTCCTCAACTCTCAACAAAGCTCCCCACCCACCCCTCCAAAAAATCTGATAATTCTCTGTACATATACATATGTAAATAAATATTTGACTCTATAAGATATAAGTTAAATAACTGCAAAGATGGGAGTCATGCTTGTCATTAAATGGCTTATTGTATTTAAAGTCTTAAAACTCGACATTTCTAGAAAACACTCTGGATGCATTTACTTGCCTTCTAGTACAAAGGAAGCAAGAACTTCAGATAATAATTTTTATATAATATATAATGATGTCCATCACAGGATTATTTATATTGACAAAAAAATTGTAAACAACCTAAACATTCAACAATAACAAAATGGTTAAATTACAGCACACCATATGCAGGAGTATTGTATAGCTACTAAAAAGAGGGAGTTGAAAATACATTGAATGTCATGGGAAAATTATCAATGTTATATGAAAAAAGGAGAAAAACTGATTATGTTAGATCTCAATTTAATTTCTTAATCTACATAAGTATACAAACACATTTATACAAATAAATGAATAATGAAAAACACATCTAAATTTTAACACATTTCTCTGAATGGTGAAAATTACAAGTTTTTAATTTTCTTTGTATCTTTCTGTATTTTCCAAATTCCCCACAATGAGGGTAAGAGTATTTAAAAATAAATAAATAAATACATATATACATTTAAATACAAAAACAGATTAGTAAGTAAACATACATAAGGTATAATATCTGAGACCACCTCTCTACTTCTATGAAAATGGGCTTTATTTGTATTGCTCTAATCTGGTACAAGGCAGCTAAATAATGAATAAGATACAGAAACAGACGCCTCAAGACATCTAGACATTCCTTTAAGCCATATGGTACTATGAATTTATATATAAGTAAAGAAAAACCCTCAAGGTCATAAAAAGCTACCAATCAATGAAAAACATGATCACTTTAAAAAAATTTTTTTAACTGAGTAAGTGTTCTATACTATTTAAAGACATTGTCAAGTAATAAATTGTAATTTGAGTTTTAACTGTGTTATTTAAAATATCCTCTTAAAAGCTGGAATATGATGATTCTTTCCCTACTGGTTTCACCTTCCTCAGTTTGGCAAACATTGGATTTTCTCACTTACACTTAAAGTAGAGCCAAAATTAACAGCTTTAAATACAGTCCTTTATGCCAATACCATACCCTGCTATGCTATTTTTTTCACTCCCTGAGTTATCAGCAACATCAAATTATTGCCAGAAATCTCAATCCTTTGACTTTAAAATGTTAGAACAACTTACCTGAGTATACAAAATATGGCCAGTCAACAAAAATAGTAGACACTTAAAGTCCATAAGGCTTGCTTGATCAGAGATTTACATCATTTTAATTAAAAAATAATAATCAATGAAAACAGATGCCATGTTAACATTCTACTTCACATTCACAACCCAAATACTGCAGAATTAATGAGCCAATAAAAACCAGGTAAGGTTCTAAAATACCAATAAATAGGCAGATAGTTAGCCTTCTCTGAGTAAATAAAATTTTTAAGTAAACAGTCAACATAAATGGTGAAAAGTAAATAAAGATATTTATTTTTAATAAGCTAAAGTGACATTAGTAATGGAAATTATGAGATATGTTCCCTAAAACGTATTTAGCTAAACAAATACTAATACTTCTACTACGTAGTTTGTGGGGCCTTGGACAAGTCAATGTCACCTCTCTAAACCCAAATGATCTGTAAACTGGGGATGATAACAACTACTTCAGAGCTGTTATGAAGTCTAAATATGCTGACATATGGGAGAATACTTTGTAAATGAAAAATATCTATGCAAATGTAAATCATCCTCTTTCCATTCTGAACAATTATATGTTCTTTCTATTTGGAACTATCAAAAGCTGAATATGTGAATATTCAATACTAGAACTAAAAAACTTAAATTCAGACCCTACACTTAATCACTAAAGATAAGGACTCAAAAAAAAAAGCTTTAGATTTCTAAGCAGAAAACTGAGATCAAACAGAATCCTTCAATAGTGAAATGTTTTTTTCCTCTTACTGAAGGTCACCTACACCTTTAACATATTTCAGATATACCTACCAGAAACTATATTACTGCTAATTATCTTGCCCCCCAAGGTAGCTAATGATTTGGGTACTACTGTAATGATGCTACCACTGGTAGTTTTCACATAGGTTGCAGCTCCAGGGGTTGCAGCCATTCGACCTATGGAAGGGCTCACTGTTGGCCGAGTATAGGTTGCCTGTGTGCCTACAAAAAGGGAAAAGCCAAAAGAAAAACTTGTCATTGTTTATAAAAGGATGATAATTTGTACAGTTTAACTATAATTCAACATAATCTACATTGCTTTAACTTGAAAATGGAATTTCAAGGTGTCAAGTCATTAATTTACAATTTTACAGTCAGTTTTCAATGCGCACAGCAAGAACTATAGCCAAGTCAATTTGAATTAATTTTACACATAAAATTTTGTGATGTGTTGCATCATATTACTAACCCAAGAAAAAGTACAGCTAACTCTTTCGCTTCTTCCACTAGTTTTATGCCAAAAGAAACTTAATCATCTTTCCTGCCAGAGCATTTCTGATATTTGTCTGTTATAGATTTTAAGGTCTCTGCATCTGTTTTATGCTGTTCTCAGTGCCAAACGCAATGTCAGCACTCAGCAAATAAGGCAGTATTGTTTGCCTAAAATTTTATAAACTTTTACCGCTTTATACTCTGCTGCCTTCTAAATATATTTCCATCTTCTAAAGGGTTATTCCATCTTTTGACTAGAGATTAAAGTTGAAGCTGCCAAGAATTGCCAGGCATATTTCTCTTCAGTCTAAAAAGTTCTCTATTTACCTATTTCCTCAACTTTAACTGACTTGTTAGAATATTTTCCTTCATGTCTCTGAAGAGATTTTACCCCATTATTTCTAGGACTTGTTCCTTTTCCCAAACAAGAATTAAAAACTAACCAGGTGAGCCTGTTATAGTTTTTCACAAAGCTAGTAAGTCATAAATATTATTCCTAAGCTGAAAATTATTAGTCTTGGACAGAGTGAAGAAAATAAAGATACCAGTTTCCTCAACTGAAAAATTTTCTTTCATGATATTGATAATTACATTCACAGGCTACTGTGATAGCCATTTTCAATAAATCCAAGAAATAAACAATGCTTTCAGCAAGTTATCCAAGTTTTTAAAAAATACAATCACTGCCCAAAACGAGTTTGGGGATGGGGGGGGGGGGGGGGGAAGAACTTTAAGTAGAATTAAATTATTTACAAGCATACATCTGAGTCAGAAAAAAGAAGTCTAGTACAAAGTAAATATGCTACAGAGATACACAGTTTGAGTCAGTTAAATTACAACTGAAAGATTTTCAAACTAAGCTTTTATTTTAAAAAGGAAAACACTTATTCTAACATAGACATAGACATTATTATTTTTCACTAACTTCCCTACCACGAGTAAACACACATACACAACACTGTATGTGCCAAATAGAGAAAAGTTTGGGGGAAGCATGACAGAGAGATTCAATACAAGAATAAATGTTTAAAAGCATAGGCTTTGGAGTCAAACAGATCTGTGTTCAAATCCCATGTCTGCTTCTTACTAACTGTGTGACCTTGGGCAGGTGGCTTAACTTAAGTGCTTAATGAATGTATGATGAATAAACAGGGTGATGCTCAAGAAAACTTACCAGTAGGAGTGGTTACCAGTTTAGTTGTCATAATTGCACCATTACTGCTAACCACCATTATAGGGGAATTACTACTGGTGGGCAGAGTTGCTGTCACTGGTTTGGGTAAGATTTTACTTGGTTGAACCTGTTGTGTGATGATTTTAACACCTTTGAAAGAAGAAAGATAAATCTCAGTACAAATTATTTTTAAAAACATGTCCCTTATACCAACCCAAGAGGGCAGCAGTCTTACACATTTACTCAGTCTTGCCTAAAGAGAGGCTTTTTTCATTCTCATAAAACTCTTTAACCTTTTTTTCCCTCAAATTCCTGTGTTTCCTAATTGCTCTCATTTCAGGAATACAAGTAAAAATATTACACAACCTATTAAAAAGTTCTTAAAGGAAAACCCTTTTTTCTCCTTTGTCTATGATTGGGTCATACAAGAGATTTCAAACCAAATAAAATCTAAATTTAGCCACTGGACCTGAACTTTTATAGGCAAATCAAGTACCTGTTCCATGCAAATACTTGGGACGAAAGGACGAGGATAAGAAGTCAAAAACAAGTTAATGTAAGTTTTATATATTCCCAACTTCATCAAAGATTTTCCATAATCTCTTAAATTATGAAAGCTGTTGAAAATTATAAAGAGCAAAAAGTTTTCTTTTTGAATCTTTATTTTTGAGTTGCCTTCTTTTAAAAATACTTTTTAAAGCTCACTCTGTCAAATACAGAATACAAAATAGATACATTATAACTGTACCTACATAAAATATGCATGTGGACAAGAACTCCACAGCAATGCGCAACAATAAAATAAAAGTGTTAGGGTCCTAATGTTATGGTTTTTTTACATTTTCAAAATTTTTATCTAAAGTTTATATTTGTTAATTGACTTTCAAAATATTAAATGTAAATTTTTTATGCTAACTACTAATTAAAGTATTAATAATTGGTAACTAAGTAAGAAAAATTTTGGAAACTGTTCCTCCCACTAACTTCACTGACATAATTCATGGGATAGAATATATTGCTATAGAGAACTAAGAATTACATGACATTTTTGGACAGTGACTTAGATTGAGATATTAGGAAGCAGACAAATCTATTTACTTAATTAAAAAAACAAAAACCCAAACCCGTTGCCGTTGAGTTGATTCCAACTCACAGTAACCCTGCAGGACAGAGTAGAACTGCCCCATAGAGTTTCCAAGGAGTGCCTGGTGGATTCCAACTGCCGACCTTTTTGGTTAGCAGCCAGACACTTAACCACTATGCCACCTGGGTTTCCATTTATTTAATAGTCTTTTACAATGTTAAACTTCTAATAACCAATAAAAAATTAAAATTATGACATAATTAGGCAAGTTACTTAATCTCTGTGACTCAAGGGCAAATAGCAAATGAAGAAATATCTATTCAAAAAAATCTATGAAAATTCAGTAAGAAAAGTGAAAGTCTGTAGTATCTGAAACCAAGACATCTCACTCTCCTCTCCCAGCTCACTAAGGTGAAAACTGCACTCCAGAGTCAAGAACACAGAATCCCAGTGTACAAAAATAAGTGTTAGAGTGTTGACGTTATATTCTTTTTAACATTTCCAAAGATTTTATTTACAATGTTACATTTGTTACATTGACTTCCCAAATGTAAAATGTTAATTTAAAAGAAAATTTTTTATGCTAACAACTAGTAATTGGTAACTGAGGAAGGACATTTTTGGTAGCACTTTATCAAACACTTGGCAGGGTCCCAGTCAGAGGGCTTTCTCCCCAGGAGGAACAGGACTTCGGCATTTTTCATCTTGCTCCATGCTACCTGTTGCTGAGGCTAAGTCCTAGGGGAGTATACCTGAGAGGTAGGAGTTTCCCTCTTTCATTCAGCCCCACTCATGGAATGGAGGCTGTACCTTGGGTATACCACCAATGAGAATACTGAAGTCTTGGTAACTTCGCCCCAGCTGGAGAGACAATGGTTCCATGCAAGAAGAGGCAAACCGAGAGGATCTCAGGCTGCTAGCCCCAATCCAACAAACGTTCAAATCCTAGAGTGATGGTTTCATTCAGAGAGAAGCCTGCTGTTTTTTCCACCCACAGCTCCCAAGAAATTGACTTCATTTACAACAGAGCACAGAGAAGTTCAAGACAGGACATTCTCAAGAACAGAAGAGGTTGTGGTAGAAGGCAATGGGAGAAGATTTGTGGATTTAATGAAGAACAGCCTAGACTTTAGGTGGGCTACTTTGTAGGAGGGAATGGGGTAATAAGGCTACTGGGAGGAGCCCTCCTGAGTTCAGAACATAATGATAAAAGGACCAATCTACCAGGAAGACATAACACTTCTAAATATGTAGGCACCACACGATAGATGTCTCAAAATACATGAAACAAAAACTGAGAGCTGTTTTTAGGGTGTTGAAATCCAACAATTATAGTTGGGGACTTCAATATCCCAATCTTAGCAACTGACAGAAATACTAGACAGTAAGGATATAGAAAAAAATGAACAACATAATCAACCAAAAGGATCTAACTGACATATATAGAACACTCCACCCAACAACAGCAGGATAGACATTCTTCAAGTGTCATGGAACATTCACCCAAGTAGAACATATCCTGGGCCAAAAGGGGGAAAAAAATAGGGGTGGGCAGAAATAGAAGGGACACAGATTGGAAAGGAATAAAACTGTCCCTATTTACAGATGATGTAATTGTCAACGTAGAAAATCCTAAGGAATCTATGAAAGTACTTCTAGAACAAATAAGTGAGTTCAGCAAGGTCAAAGAATACATTATTAACACTATTTCTGTATACTAACAGGGAACATGTGCAAACTGATATTAAAATTACAATACCATTTACAATCACTCCAAGAAAATGAAATACTTAGGTATAAATCTAACAAAACATGTGCAGGACTTACATGCTGAAAACTACAAAACGCTGATGAAAGAAATCAAAACAGACTTAAATAAAATAAATGTACTGGAAGACTCTTACAACAGTAAAAATGTCAATTCTCCTCAAACTGATCTATAGGTTTAATGTAATTTCTAGGAAAATACTATAAAGGTTTTAGCAGACATATGCAAGCTTATTCTTAAATTTATATGGAAAGGCAACAGAACTAGAATGGCTAAAATAATTTTGAAAAAGAAGAATTAACTCTACCCAATGTTAAGGCTTACTATACAGGTAGTCCCTGACTTACGATGGGGTTCTGTTCCAACAACTCCATTGTAAGTTGGTTCTGATGTAAGTCAAACACCTCATTTTTTTTCCAGTTTTCATTATTATTATCAGTATCTTTATAAATCCGTTGAAACAATGAAGTTGGAGTCGTAACGGTTATCAGGTACATGCACAGATCAACTGTCATTAAACTGAACAACGTTCAACTTTTTATCCATTACGACTCCCAATACCAACACCAACTTCATTGTAGACCAGGACATAGACTGCTATACAGCAGTGTTTTGAAAAGTAATTGATAAAATTGAACATCTGCGAGTGAACATCTGAGAATGATAACATCATCAAATCACATGCCGCAACACTGTATGTAGTACATATTACTAATGATAAGACGTCAAAAAAAAAAAAAAAAAAACTAGACGGTTGGAAATACAGTTCATCGTAACTTGAATATGTAGTCAACAGAGACTACCTGTATAGCTACAGTGATCAAGACAGTGTGGTATTAACAGAGGGACAGACAAACAGAACAAGAGAACAGAGTACAGAACCTAGAAATAGACCCACACAAATATTCCCAATTGATTTTTGACAAAGATGCAAAGGCAATTCAACAGAGGAAAGATGGCCTTTTCCATAAATGGTGTTGAAGGAATCTGACATCCATACATAAGAAAATGAACCTCTAAACCTCACACCTTCTATAAAATCTACTCAAAATAGGTCACAGACTTAAATATAAAATGTAAAACTATAAAACTTATGGAAAAAATCTTCAATACCTCAGGCTAGGCTTATACTTGACACCAAAAGCATGATCCATAACAAGAAAAATTCATAAATTGTACTTCATCAAAATCTACATCAGTGTAAAAGATCTAGCCCTATTACCGACATTTTGTTAATAACATATTCCTTCCCTAACTACGATGGTGAGATTTCTGAAAACACTTATAGCATACGACCCTGAAATTGAGGAACTTAAGATTTATGGAAAAAAGTATAGTTAGAGGATTGAGGATTTGAATAAATCTAGGAAAGTTTCTGAAGTATTTTTACACAGATTAAAACAGAATCCAAACAATACAATAAACAGATTACGTCACATGGCTTATATCAACCATAACAGATTTTGTGGAATTAATATAATTTATTATACCTCCTTACCAGAAATTTTTCAGGATCTCCCACTCCTGCTGTTCAAATGAAATGGTTAAAAATTCATTTTGTTTTCTTAAAGATATTAAGCATGTTAAGAAGCTTTTTAATTTTCCTGTATCTGAGCTTCTATTCTACCTGGCTTTCTATTCAATACTCTTAGGATTTTATGACTTACAGTAACTGACTCCCTCCCACCTCTGAGTCCCCACTGTGCTGGAGATGCTAAATAAACTGCTAAATTGACAACTTTATGCCAAACTCATACTACTAGCTCTCTAACACAAGGCTCTCTAGACCAATTTTCCCACCACCCACTCTCCATAACCCCAATTAGGTCTTGGAGGATATTTCTAAAATTTGAGTTTATTTCATCGACTTCCTTTATCCCTCCTGAGACTTCACTGGAAACTCTTCCTGTTCTGTAAGCTGCTTTTCCTCCTTTTCTATTCCCAAGCCCTAGTTCTCCCCATATACAAGTATTTCCAACAGGAGAGTCTCAAATTATATTTTGGAATTAAAACTTTGGTGCTTGAGGAAATATACATGGAAGTAAATCCATATAGATTAGCAGTCTTCAGAGAACTGGTGATTGTGGAAGGATGACTAGGACTTGTAAATATTTTCCAGTTACCTGACTCCTGTTTAATTTGGATGGTAGGCTTGATACCAGGTGGCAAAGGAGACTGCTGAGGCTGTTGCTGATGAGATACTGGAGAAGGTTGGGCCACCTGTTGCTGTGTCTGTTGCTGCACTTGATGTAACTGCTGCTTAGGAGACTGTTGATGCTGTTTAGGAAACTGTGCAAGAATCTGAGTTGGTGCACTCACTAAGCTTTTGGGGGAAGGAAGTCTGGTTGATGCCATTTTGATTGCTGATGTAGATACACCTGTGGAAGAGTAAGGGCAAGAGAATTTAAGAGTAAAGTACAATTAAAGTTACTTCCAGTTACTGTAGTAGATAATTGCTTAAACACTAAATAAATCAATAAAAATTATGATTTATTGCACACCTAGTAAGTGACAAACATAATGAGTGGTTCTTTATATATTTGGTGTCTAGTCCTCAAACTCTGCAAGAGAGGCATTATTGCTCCCAGACTCAAAAAAAATTAACTGATTTTTCCTTGATAAAGACTGAAACTATAAGAAGCAAAGTATCAGGCAGGATATTCACAAACGTATTTCTCAATAGACTTTAGAAAATGCAGGTTCTCAATGTGAATAATATGAACAAAACAGGCTAACTGAATTTTGAATCTTATCTGTAACACATTTTTTTAAATACCACTTTTCAGGTTCTAATAAGCCAATTTAAACATGGCATCAGATAAAATAACTCACCTGTTGAAATCTTTAGCATAGCAAAGTAGCTTTTCTGTATCTCACTGCCAATAATCCACAGGTTAAAGTCATTTCATGTGAACTTGAACTGAGTTGTTAAATAATTATGTGAAATGTTAATGGACATACTCAGTACATTCACAGCAAAAAAAAAAAAAAAAATCTTGATGATACAGGGTTTCAAGACATTTTGTTCTGTGCAACACTAATACTATGCAAGCATGCATAGGTAAGGAGTACTAGTAACTTCCACTAAAGATGTATGAGCTTCAGAGAAATTCCTCCCTCTCTCACAGATTTTTCATCTGTAATCTCCTTATAATTCATCGAATATCCAACAGGACTATTATCTGTCAATAAATTAATATTCCTAACAGAAAGAACCTGGAATACAACTCACTATATGAATTTCCTGAGCACTGTTGAAACAATGAAAGGAAACTGATAAATAACAATTATCAAATACCTCAGGATGTTATTTCACATCGTTCTCCACCACACACCATGACAATTACCTTGCATTACAAAAAAATTTTAAAATAATAAAAATATCATATTTTTATGTAAACTGTCTTTGGAGAACAATGAAGATGGAAAAGAAACCTTTAGAAGTCACTCTAGCTCGCTGGGCTTCAGCTTCCTCCTTTGTTGAATTTTTCCTACAAATCTCTAAGGGTTACTGTGTGGATGAGGTAAGATCAAAGACTAAGGAACACTTAAGGGGGGAGACAAAAGGCACAGTAGGAATTGCCTGGAGGTTGTTATAAATTTAGGATGGTAAAGGTAATCCCTATGGTACACACTAAGAAAACTTCTTTAAAAAAATGTACAGAAAAGCAAATGAGAAGGGAATCAAAATGATTCACCATGAAAAACCAACTAAACACAAAAAAAGGAATTTGATTAAATAAGGGACAAAAAAGGTATAAGACATACAGAAAACAAATGGGAGAAGTAACTCCTTCTTTATCAGAAATTACTTTAATTGTAAATGGATTGAACTCACCAATCAAAAAGCACTGACTAGCAGAATGGATAAGAAAACACGACCCAACTATATGTCACCTACAAGAGATCCATTTTAAATTAAAAGACACAGATAGGTTGAAAGTGAAAGGTCGGAAAAAAATATTCTACACAAACAGAAACCAGGAGAGCCGGGGTAGCTATATGAATCAGATAATATAGACTTTAAGTGAAAAACTGTTATGAGAGATAAAGAACATTAAGTAATGAGAAAAGGATCAATTCATCAAGAAAAGGCAACAATTATAAATATGCATGCACCTAAGAACAGAGACCAAAATATGTGACGCCAACACTGACAGAACTGAAGGGAGAAACAGACAGTTCTACAATGATAACTGGAGGCTTCAACACAAAGCTTTCAATAATAGTACAGCATCCAGACAGAAGATTAGGGAGATAACAGAGGATCTTAACAACACTATAAACCAACTACACCTAACAGGTATTTATGAATACTTCACCCAACTACAGCAGGACATATATTCTTCCCCAACGCAAACAGATCATTCTCTAAGATAGATCATATGTTAGCTCACAAAATAAGCCTCAAATTTAAAAAAAAATTATAATCATATGAAGTATTTTCTCTAACCATAGTGGAATGAAACTAGAAATCAATAATAAAAGGAAAACTGGAAATTCCACAAAAATGTGGAAATTAAACAAAACACTATTAAACTACCAATGGGGTCAAAGAAGAAATCATAAAGGAAATCAGAAAATACAAATGAAAATGAAAGCACAATATACCAAAACCTATGAGATGCAGCAAAGGCAGTACTGAGAGGGAGATTTATAACTATAAACACCTACATTGAAGAAGAACAAACCCAAATCAATGACCTTACTTTACACCTTGAGAAACTAGAGAAGGAAGAAACAAAAGGAGCCCAAAGTGACCAGAAGAAAGAAGATAATTAAGATTAGAGCAGAGATAAATGAAATAGGAAACAAAGTGCAATAAAGAGAACTTAAAAAAAACAAAAGTTGGATTTTTGAAAAGATCAACAAAACTGACAAACCTCTAGCTATACCGACAAAAAAAGATGTTAGTAACTAAAGGAATAAAAGCAGCAATATTACTACTGACTCTGCACAAATTAAAAAGATTATAATATTATGAACAATTGTATGACAATAAACAAGATAACCTAGATAAAACAGATAAATTCTGAGAAACACATAAACTACCTAAATTGCCTCAAGAAGAAACAGCAAATCATAACAGATCTATTGCAAGGGAAGACTGAAACAATAATCAAAAACCTTGCAACATCCCTATTTGCAGATGATATGATACTATATGTAGAAAACCCAACAGACTCCACAAAGAAAATAGTGACTATTTCTCAGAAATGTAAAGTATACAGCAGGTGGTTCACACAATTCATGGCCAAAAGATTCAGCAGTCAAGGTAGAGAAGCTCTCTGGTAATAAACAGAAATTTTTTCCAGAAGACTCCACAAGAAAACTACTGGAACTAACAGAAGGATTTGGCAGAGTAACAGGATACAAGATAAACATACAAAAATCAGTGGGTTCCTATACACCAATAAAGAGAATGATGAAAAGAAAATCAGGGAAACAATATCATTTATAATAGCCCCTAAAAAAATAAAACACTTAGGAATAAATCTGACCAGGGATGTAAAA